TCCCCCCACCCACTGATTAATATCCCTCCAGGACCTCCTCACACCCCCCTTGCTGAGAGACACCTCTCCCCAGACTTCCCTCTTTGAATAGTCAAATGCTCCTCAGTCCCCATAAAACCACTACGCAGTCCCTGGACAACCTTCCCCAACCCTTTACAATCCTCCTTCCCAGATAATAGGCATCCTTCCCAGCCGGCTTCATCCCCTCCACCCCCCACCTCACCTGACTGACATCCTTGCTGACAACAGTAAAACTTACAGGTGGCACATAATGCTCCCCCCCATAACCTCAGCATTTCATTCTGCACATGCCTCCATACCTGCCATGCCCCTCTTCTGTACATAATGGTCGGAACATCGTACCCATTACTTACCTCACTTCCGTACTCTGACCATTCTTATCCTTCACTTACCGCCTTCTTTCAGACTCTCCACACTCCACTCTTGCACATACTGCCCACCGTCACACCCTCCACATACCTCTGCTGTACATACTGCCCACCGTCACACCCTCCACACTCATCCCCTGTACATACTGCCCACTGTCACACCCCTCCCCTGTACATACTGCCCACCTTCACACCCTCCACACCCCTCTCCTGTACATACTGCCCACCCTCCTCTCCTGTACATACTGTCCACTGTCACATCCTCCACACCCCCTCTTGTACATGCTGTCCACTGTCACATCCTCCACATCCCTCTCCTGTACATACTGCCCACCCCTCTCCTGTACATGCTGCCCACTGTCACACCCTCCACACCCTTCTTCCGTACATACTGATCACGGTCACACCCTCCACACCCCTCCCCTGTACATACTGCCCACTGTCACACCCTCCACACCCCTCTCCTGTACATACTGCCCACTGTCACACCCCTCTCCTGTACATACTGCCCACTGTCACACCCCTCTCCTGTACATACTGCCCACTGTCACACCCCTCTCCTGTACATACTGCCCACTGTCACACCCCTCTCCTGTACATACTGCCCACTGTCACACACCCCTCTCCTGTACATACTGCCCACTGTCACACCCCTCTCCTGTACATACTGCCCACTGTCACACCCCTCTCCTGTACATACTGCCCACTGTCACACCCCTCTCCTGTACATACTGCCCACTGTCACACCCCTCTCCTGTACATGCTGTCCACTGTCACATCCTCCACACACCCTCTCTTGTACATGCTGTCCACTGTCACACCCTCCACACCCTTCTTCCGTACATACTGATCACTGTCACACCCTCCACACCCCTCCCCTGTACATACTGCCCACTGTCACACCCTCCACACCCCTCTCCTGTACATACTGCCCACTGTCACACCCTCCACACCCCTCTCCTGTACATACTGCCCACGGTCACACCCTCCACACCCCTCCCCTGTACATACTGCCCACTGTCACACCCTCCACACCCCTCCCCTGTACATACTGCCCACTGTCACACCCTCCACACCCCTCCCCTGTACATACTGCCCACTGTCACACCCTCCACACCCCTCCCCTGTACATACTGCCCACTGTCACACCCTCCACACCCCTCCCCTGTACATACTGCCCAATATTTTTGTTTAGTTTTGCATTTCTTTAGCCCTGATAACTACAGCTCAGCTCTCTTATGTACATTTAATTAAAACATGGCATTAGGTTAACGATATGTTTCTTGCAAAACCACGCCCATTTTAAATGAATACCCGCCCCCAATTAAAGTAATTTCTCCACCGACAAATGACAGCAGGAAAAGGTGTCCCTAAAAGTTTTTTTGAAATATTGGCAACTATGTGCACAGCAGAAGGTGAATATACTTGATGCAGATTAACAAGTAAGCTCACCGGCCTCTACAACATGGTCTATGGTTGGGAACCTCTTAAAGGCTGCGGTGCTGACAGATCGCAAGATGAGTAACCCAGAGAGACTGCAGTAACGCATGAGTGTCCGCCGGTACATCCTCGCCCGCTCATCCGAACCGTGTACTGTAGCATTGATGGCACACATGACGCGGTCTGGCATAGGCATGCACAGGTACTGGTTCCACCACCTGTTCACAACCAGGGTGACATAGAAACCTGCAGGACACAGAACAAGAGGGTCAGGGATAAAGATAAGGCTTAATGAATGGGATCAAAAAGAAGTGTTCAACAGAGGTAAAGGAAAAAAAAAAAAAAAAATACAAACAATGGCAAAAATAGGCCTCCAACACTTCTATGAAACCATAACAGTGTTAGGTGAAATTTTCTTTTTGCATGTTTTTAATCTGATGGTCACTCCTCTGTTTCAGCTGTGAATTTGTAATCCAGGCTTCAACTACTGAGCCCTATAAACAATATTTTTTCAGCAAAGCAGCTAAGAGTAGCCTAAACATGTAAATTAGACAGGAGATCTACTTCTGTCTGACAAAAAAAGAAAAAAGCCTGAAAAAAAAAAAACCAAAAACAAAAACAAAAAAAACTAAAATTAATGCAGCCACCACATATAAGGACTTTGGGGGGGGGAGGGTCAGAGAAATTTGCAGCAGAAAAGTCTCTTACCCAGCACAAAGGAGACCGGGATGAGATTGGCGTAGTTGTTGCAGTAAAGTGACACTCTTTCAAAGCTGCGTTTCTGATTCTCATTGAGTAGGAACCTGTGGAAGGGAATGGAACTATGTCATGGGGGGCTGAAGGGATAAACAACCTTTTTGGCACGTGTATTAAATTCCTACATCTCCAGCTATTCAACAATACAAGATTAGATGGATAGACAAACCCTCTTTTTATTTTTATATTCTTAAATTTTGTTGCAATGTGATTTTCCAAACAAAAATTGTAATAAAACTTATCTAAGACGTTTGATGTTATGAAAGCCTCAATATATAGTGACAAAAGCAAATACAGACCAATAGTAATAATAATTATATATATATATTTTTTTTTTTTTTTTTTTTTTTTTTTTTTTTTAATTTTATTTTTTTTTTTTTTCCCCACGACACACACAGCCCTGGCCAAAGGTTTTGAGAATGACACAAATGTTAAATTCCCACAAAGTCTGCTGCCTCAGTTTTAATGATGCCAATTTGCATATACTCCAGATTGTTGTAAAGAGTGATCAGATGAATTGCAATTACATTGCAAAGTTCCTCTTTGTCATGAAAATTAAATCTCCCCCCCCCCCCCCCAGAAAAAAAAACACACACAACATTTCCACTGCATTTCAGCCCTGCCACAAATGTCAGCAGGCAGGTGTGAGTGCATCTGCACACACAGTGAGGCGAAGACTTTTTGAAGATGGCCTGGTGTCAAGAAGGGCATCAAAAACACCACTTCTCTCCAGGAAAAACATCAGGGACATACTGATATTCTGCAAAAGGTACATTGATTGGACTGCTGAGGACTGGGGTAGTGTCATCTCTATGGTGAATCCCCTTTCCAATTATTTGGGGCATCCGGAAAAAACCATGTTGGGAGAAGAAAAGGTGAGCGCTACCATCAGTCCTTTGTCTTGCCAACAGTAAAGCATCCTGAGACCATTCATCTGTGGGGTTGCTTCTCAGCCAAGGGAGTGGACTCACTCACAATGTTGAGTAAGAACACAGGCATGCATAAAGAATGGTACTAAAACATCCTCAGAGAGCAACTTCTCCCAAACCTCCAAGAACAGTTTGGTGACGAAGAACACCTTTTCCAGCATGATGGAGCACCTTGACATAAGGCACAAGGGATAACTAAGTGGCTTGGAGGAACAAAACATCAAAATTTTGGGTCCATGGCCAGGAAAACCCCCAGACGTATTCCTATTGAGGCGGTTGAAAAAAAAACAAAAAAAAACCCACAAACTTTGGCAAACTCCAAGCATGGATTATGCAAGAATGGGCTGCCATCAGTCAGGATGTGGCCCAGAAGTTAATTGACAGCATGCCAGGGCAAATTACAAAGAAGGGTCAACACTGCAAATATTGACTTTGCATAAACTTCATGTAATTGTCAAAAACCTTTGTCACTTATGAAATGCTTGTGATTATACTTCAGTATACCATAGTAACATCTGGCAAAAAGATCTAAAAACATTAAAGCAGCAAACTTTGTGAAAATTAATATTTGTCATTCTCAAAACCTTTGGCCAGGGCACACACACAAACACAAAAAAATACATACGCTAAAAACCTTATAGGGTAACCACATAAGGAACTCCAAACCACTGTCTCAAAATAAATATATAGCTTTTCCTAAACAACTTCATCCAAAGAAGGAAGGCAAAAAAGTAAATGGAAAAAAAATAAAGAAGGAAACGAAAAAGAAATAAAGGAAAAAGTAGAAAACAAATAAAAATGCCAATAAGAGTTAAACTCCTGCAGGTTTATTTTCTGCCAACTCTATCAGATTACTTCCTATCCTGGAGATGCAATAGGAAGTAAAAATGGAAAATTGAATGACAGATACCGTAATTTTCCTTTCCTGACTGGCTCCATGTCAGCACAGATCCCCCATGCTTCCAAGACCTAACGCATAAATTTGAGCCCAACTGCAGCCTCAGTGGACTGTAACTAGTCCTACCAAGCTGGGTGGGAATTGTGCCGACATGGAGCCAGTCAGGAGAGGAAAATTACGGTAAGTAATTGCCATTCAATTTTCCATTTTCCTGACAGCTCCATGTCAGCACAGCTGGGAACAAACTAGCCACACAAGGGAGGGATAATGCTACACACTCCTCAATTCTGGCTAAAAAGCAGAAGCCAGGATGCCTCTGCCAAACTCAACTGTCATCAAGACTGCTTCTATACAGTAATGAGCCATGAACGTATGTATTGACCCACACGTAGCTGTCTGGGCACACTCAGCCTGCTACCGCTCACAAAGTCGAGACCCTTTGGGTAGACAGTGCAGTGATGCCCCCGGCACAGCCAACCCTTTCAACTTGTAGGCCAAGGAGATGAGCTTCGCCAACCAGGAGGCAATAATCTTGTTGGAAGCCATAAAATCATTATACACTCCACCTGGAATGACAAACAAGTACTCTGAATTCCTGATGCTGCCTTGATATTAAACTTTAAAGCTTGACCCACATCTGATGGGCTAACGTCTTGGGTACTCCCCAAAAGGGATGTAGGAAAAAACGTTTCCTGTGATATGGACTATGAAGGCCACTATGGTATGATATTGAGCATCAGCATGAGTACCACTCTATTCTGGATGAACATAAGAAAGGGTTCTTTAAACTCCAGAGCCGCTAATATGGACACTATTCTTGCTAATGTAATTGCCACCAGGAAAGCAGTTTTCAGCAAGAGGTACCACAAGTGGCCATTTTCACAGCATCTTCTAATTGTAAAGTCAGGTATCTGGCCAATCCCATAAGGGACACACTGGCCAAAGGGGTGATGCAAATCCCTTGACATCCTGCTGTGACAACATGCTCCAATCTTGTAGAACAGGTACTTGATTCCATCACTGTAAAGGAATTGTCAAGCCGTCCTCTGGAAGCACTTGAAATTCCTTTAAATAGAAGCAAAGCTGTGGAAGTATTTCATCAACCTTATAAAAAGGAGAAATTGACAACCTGGACAATGGTTGTCCTCATTTTCTTGTTCAGAAGGGACAAGATGGATTGATTGGGTTGAGAAGGCTCTGAAAACATTTATATTGGCCCTAAAAGGATGGCCCTTGGAGAAGGCGAGTTCAGCAATTCTTTTAGAGTGGCTTGACCACATGCTTAATTTCACAGTGTGAGTGGAAACATTCCTTCAGGGCCAGCTCACACTACATGTGTTTCAGTTGCTTTTGCTCTGCATCCAAAAATGCACAGAAAGTAGGCTATATGGTTGACAATGTCATAGTGCACATCAGTGCATGCAGTTCCAGAATTTAAAAAAAAAAAAAAAAAAAAAAAAAGTAGAACATGCTGCATCTTTTCTGCAAGGAACTACACTGGACCACACCAAAAAACACACTGGACCGCACCAAAAAAAAACACAGTGGACCGCACATGTCCCTATTTTAATTGAAGAAAAAGAGGGGGGAAAAATTAACTGGAATGCATAAAAAAAAAAATGCACTGGAACACGTCAAAAATGCATTAAAAAAATGTGTAAAAACATGCATGCGGAAATGCATTCGCAACGCATCTGGACTTCATTTCTATAGTGTGAACCAACCCTCAAAGTGTAATAGCCTCATGTGACAACCTGTTAGGTTTCATCTTTATCCTTGGTTGCTCGAACAAAGCAGTATTCATGCAGTAATGTCCGTCCACATCGTCCTCTGTGGAAACTCTGAAGAGGGATACTTTGCCTGGGAAGACTAGGCAGCTTCTTATTACCAAAGCAGATAACTCTTTCAAAGGGTAAGTGGAAATCATTCCTTTGCTCCTTATTGACAATGTGTTTATTGAATGTGGCATCCTGTTAGGTGCCATCATCTCTATCCCTGGCTGCTTAAACCAGCAGGATAGTCATGCTCATCCGCATCTTCCTTTTCATAGAGTCTGAAGAGGATGTCTTCCCTGGCACGGCTCTGAGACTTCTAATCGTCAGAACATATAACACTTTCACAGGGTGAGTGAAAACTCTCTTTGAGTGCACTGGCCACTTAATAAATGTGATGTTTTGGATGTTGTCATCCTCATTTGTGGTTGCTTGAACAAAGCAAGGTTCACGTTGTCGTGTTCATCTGTGTCTTCTGAAGAGGGTTGTTTTGTTTGGGAAAGCTCTGAGACTGCTTATTGCCAGACTAGATAGTCCTTTCACAGGGTTTTGCCTGCTGCTTAAAGCAGCTAAAAAAAAAACCCAAAAAACAATTTAGTAAAGTAGAAAATAGCTTGTTTAGTAACAAACACTAAAAGGGTTAATCACTGCTAGAGTGATGCCAATACTTTGCTTCCAACCATAGCCCTGAAGTCACCAGGTGGTTGGTTAATGAACCAACAGTACAAAAAATGGCCACTGCCCCAGTCTAGAACTGGCCTTCACAGCAAGGAACACATGGAAGGGTGACATATGTCAAACAACAAAAGAGAAAAGTTCCCAGCTCAACTTGCCAGCCAGCCAGGCTGCCAACAATCCGAATTAACCTGTCTAACAGTATGCGTTAAAAACAGGGGTTTAGTTAGCACACATTTGCAAATACATACTTAAGCTACAGAGCCACGTCACGGCACCCCAGTATTCTGTGGTCCTAACGCTACAAATTTTCAGAGCCCCCCATAGAGGGCACATATATTTAATGGATAGACCAAGGGCAGATGGACCTGAGGGAGCCAACACCTATCTTAAAAAAAGTACAGGAGCGCACCAGACACCCAGCATGTAGCACAATGGCAGCTAGGGTGTCCAGTGCGCCCCCTCACCAAATCTTGCCCTGCCAGAGTACAGGACATGATGAAAATGTTTTGTTAAGAAAAGCAAAAAAAAAAAAAAAAAAAAAAAAAGTGTAGGAATCTGCATCAGAATTACAATAAAATATTTAATATTCTGCAATATACACAAACCATCCAAGGGAATTGTTGACTTTTTTTTTTTTTGAGAAACTGGAGAACACATTAAAAAGGGATGTCCTATACTCCACCAGGCAATGCTGGCTATGGTAGTCATCCACAGGATATTCCTCCACCTTCTCTGGGAATGCTGATCTTTGGGGGGGGGGGTTGGCATAA